TGCAATGCTACGCCTAGAATATTTCTTTCTCAATACACTCCTTTTGTTAGGACTGTCTGTAGTGCTCTTAAGTCAAGCAGGTGCCAACTGAGAGCACTTGAGTTACCCTGGTTTGATGGTGGTGATGCAGTGTCAGCTAAGGATGTGTTTGGTGCCTCTGCAGTTTGACAGCAGAGAAACATTTGAATTCACCATGTAAAAGTTTATAGAAGAAGCATCTGTTATTTACTTTTAATTTAAGATAAATATAGTTAAAGAACATAGCTTCCATATGCTTCTGCATGCCATATGCTAAGATGCTGGCATACAAACACGCTCTTGTGGGTGTAAATAGAAAACCAGAAGACAGAGACTGTCATACTGAATATCCTGCTGGCAGCCCTTGTTCTATATCCTGACAGGTCCCCTTACCAGCAAAAAGGGAAATTTCTTCCCCAAGCTGTACATTTAACACTTGACTTATGCCTTGAAGCAAAGTGGTTGCATCTGCAGCTATTTTCATTGCTCCTATCAATTGCAAACTTCTGTTGGCATCTTAATGAGTGTCTCCACATGGTCTGTTACACAGTTCCAGCCCTTCCCTGAAAAAAAAGTATTTTTTTTTAGCATTTTAAACCTAGTTATGTTTCAGCTTAATTAATGATCTTGTTCTTCTTGTAACAAAAGAAGGTGTACTTCTTTTTTGGTGTGCCAGCCCTTTTCTATCAACAGAACTGCCTTAGATGGTCAGCCTGCAGTTTGTCCCCAAGAGTTTAAGTCCAGTCTGGTGGCATTGACTGGTGGTAACAAGAAAGAATAGCTGGACTTCAGAAGGAAATCCTGCATTCTCATTCTTTCTGGGAATCAATATTCTAACTCAAAACCCTTTACCTGGCACTGTCCTGGGATTAGCTGTTTCCATTCATGTGTTTGTGTGCATTTGAAATGCTGCAGAGATGGTAGAAATCACACATTAAGTCTGGGAGGAACTTCTCAGTACTATGTGGTTTTATTTAATTATTTTTTTTCAGTGCATAGGGCTGCAAAAGGCCTGCATTTTCCCTCCAGTGGTATCCCACTTAAAAAGAGGAGGAGATGTTGGCATAGCAAAATGGCTCTTTGGGATGAGTTTATTTAAAACCATTGTGATAGAACTGAGGATTACGGGGAAATACTATATCATGCAACATAAACAACACATGATCCAAACCAGTCAGTAGCTTGAAACCACCGAGGATAAATGATTTTGCTAACTTTTGTGAAAGTCCACTGCAAAAAAATTTGTCTCATTCCGTCTCCAGAAGTGCCTCTAATTGAACATTTTTCTCTGTTAAAAGTTAAATCTTACTTAACTGGGAAATAAGTTTGCAGGGGGCAGAAATAAGGTGACTGGTTCCTGAATGAACCACTGGAGAGGATCTGTCAGCTCTGCTGCTTCCTGTCTGGCCCTTCCTTTGCAGTGCCCCAATGGGCTTTATTGTTATGATTTAATTTTTTTCAGTGGTTCATGTTGCTCACCTCAAGCATACTTGTAAGTGTATAGCAGAAATTGTGCCATTTCTTAGGACTGACGTGCCATAAAGATCTGACCCATTAAGCTCAGGCTTTTGAAGACAATTCAATTCAAACTGAAGAATTAATACATTGGCATAATCTTTGAAGACTCTTGAGTGGAAATGAATTGCCTCTTCACAGGACTGAAATGCACTGTGCTGCTTAGGCTGGTCCAAGGAGGTGTGGGGCTTTGGTGTGTACAGGTACCAGCTCTTTATGGCTGCTCTGAGGGGTGTGGGGTTTGGTGTCTATGGGTACCAGACCTTCATGGCCAGCATTTTGTTTTGCCCCTGTAAGACAAAAATGTGCTGCTGTCCCAGCAGAGAGACTCAGCTGCCCCTTGGGTGACCGAAGAGGTGCTCATCTGGTCCAGCCAGCTTAGCACTAGCACTGTTGTCTTTAGGAAGTGCAAAAGTCCAGGAGAATGGGAAGGAAGTGGATTGTTTGCTTCTGAGGTAGTATTTTAGGCATCAGAAGAAGCTTTCTGGATTCTGGACTCTTTGGCTGCAGCCTTCTGTCCTGGCTGACACTGAGGCTTTGTTGCTCTGTCAGGGATGAAGAGATTGATTTACCAGGATCTACCCTTGTTAAAATTCCTAAAGTAGAAAAAAGAAGCAATTCCCTTATGACCTCACAGAAGATCCTTCTGCTGTCCTCCTTTACGTCATGTGTCTCTAGACTATCCACTATATTTTCTTCTTTTCAACTCCATGTCTCCATCCTTATACAGTTATAATACATTACATCATTTGTTGTTTAACTCTCCTCTACCCATGTTCGCTGTTGCCACTAATTTCTTTAAGCTCCGTGATCTCTTATATGCTTATGTGGCCATCACTTTTAATATCTAAGTAGGCTCAGCCAACTTAGTGACTTACTTCTATGCTTGAAATGAAGGACATTTGTGCAGGAGATCGGGTCATTAGATAGTTCATTGCAGGATGGAAGCGTCTGGTTTAACATAGAAATTTAGAAGTTCCATCACTGTTGTTGCCATTAATAATGTCAGGAATGAATTGTGATCTTCTGTCAGATGGCAGTAGAGATTGGAAGTTGATGGTTTATTGTGCAATTGCAAGTATTGATCTGTGGGGATGGCAGTGTAGGATATAGGTCACTTCCCTCCAGACACAGGCGGTGGTAGCAATGCTGAGAAGATGGTTTGGATACACTTGTCCTTGCTTGATTCACATGGACATGTTTGTGTTGCCAGATCTTTGGTGTCCTTGCTGAAGGCAATGAGGCTACATGGACCTTGGGCATCTGAGCCTATTACTTGTTTAACCCTCCTGAAGAGGGCAATTACCTCGCTTTCCTGGGCAGAGTGCTGACCTCTGTCCTCGTGCTCCTGTAATTGAGAAGGAGAATGTCTCCCAAGTTCCTGACTGCAGGAGTTGAGAGATAGGAAGGGTCACAAGGACTGAAGGTGAAAGGCAAGGATCAGCAATTTAGAGGTAGCTATTAATATGCTGATCTACTGTCACTTGAGTCTAAAGAGACTTTTAACAATTGTTTGCCTTTCAGATGCTCTTCAGAATGCTGATTTTTTTTTCATTAGATATCTAATTGCATTCTAATAAGAAATTTTTTATTTCCAGGTGGTTGCCAACCCATCCCTTGCTGCCATACAGCACTGTAGTTAAAAATTGTGTGTATTCATTGCAAAGTTACACCCCAGTCAATCCTTTAAAACTGTTACTTTCTTCTTTTTCTTCATGCACTCCTAGTTACATGAAGTGCTAGCAACAAAGAAAAATACATGCCATCTCAAAAACCTGAATTATTTAGGGATCTCCATAAGAAGAATATCAGAGATTGTTAAAAAACAACATCTGGATTAAATAACTTAATCTTCTGTAGCTTTATGATACAATATGTGAACATGCCTGAAATCAGAAAGCCCGACATGAGTAAACTCTTGGGACCAAATTAAATTCCTAACTCTGTCCCTGACTGTATTGCTTGAATCAAGTCATGACCTGGCTTTGCTGTGATTAACCTACAATGTAGGATATAAACAGCCTACTTTTTTGGAGATTTTGAGAGAATTAGTTATCATTAATTAAATGAAAGGCTCCATGGTGTGCAGGCTATTTTTATTTATTATAATTACTTATTACTAATTCACTGAAACTTTAGCAAGTTTTATAATAGACTTCCTGTGACTCAGACTTACATATTAATACTTTTGTACTTGGTTATGGCTATGGAGTGCCATTATCTACCCTGAGAAATTAAACATCACAGTCCAAAAAAAGGACCAGGGTTGACAGAAAAGATCATTGGCCTCAAATAAAACCGGAGGGGAAAACAGTGCATCTAAGTCCTGAGCTGTGCTCTTGCAAACACCATTTGATCCTTGCCTGGCCCCAAAGGCATCTGTGTCCAAATTCAGAGGCCTCAGCCCCAGCCTCATCCTGTTGTTTTCTGTAGCTGTGGCCCAGTCTTGGAGGTTTGGTAAAGCTTTGAGCTGGGAACCAGTGAAATGTGTCAGGTGTGAGTGTGCGCGGCAGTGTGGGCAGGTGGGGCTCGGTGCCTGCAAGGGAAGGAGCTTCAGGACAGATGGAGTTCAGCAGAGCGACACTGTCCTTTGTCTGAGACCTACAGACCAGGCATTTTGTTTTCTTTTGTTGCCTGTTAATGGATCCGTTCAGTAGTGCTCTTGCAGCGAGCTTTGGTGCACTGTAAAGGCAGGCTTCCAGTAAAGCACCGTAGCTGCAGCCCCTTTCTGCCATAGCCGGAGGCTGAACGCCCGTGCCATTCCTCCTAAACATCTCCATTTATGCAAACGATTCAAAGGTTTAGGTGGCCAGAGAGCAGGAGAGCACAGAGGGCAGCACAGTGTTGAGGGAACTCAGTTTGAAGGGGGCAGCCCTGGTGTTTACACCTTGCTGCAAGGAGCATTTAGCTGCAGCATGTGCGGCTCAGACAGAGCAGAGGTCACCACTGTGTGGGAAAGCTGCTCAGGCTGTTCTTCCCTTCCTCTGAAATGTAGAAAAGATGGCAGTTTGGGAGATGGAAGCTTTCTTCTGTGTTTGTTTTGGGTTTGTTTTTTGGGTTTTTTTTCACACTGAAGCTCTTTTGGTTCCAAGGGTAGTGTGTGCATCATAGCTTGGGAATCCTGGCCTCGACCAAATACATTCTGTGGCATGTCACTGCAGCATTATATCTTTTGTTTAGTTGTACAATGTAGATTGGTTAAACTGTTGCCCCAAGCCTTCAAATGACTGCCTCCTTGAGAATATTGAATTTATATCATCATTTAGATAACACACTGTTCAAATAAGAACGTGTCTTTATGGGTTTGTGAAGCTTCTCATCTTTGAGTGACGTGCAAATAACGACCTAAGAATAAATCAACTTTATCCTATTAACCCAGGAGAATGAATCTCACACAGAACAGAAGTAGTGACTGCATGGAGTAGAATATATGAGAATATAACAATCTTTGTGCCTTTCCTTTTCAGCTGTTACATGCCTGTCGGAGCACAACGACTCTGCCAGTGTCAGTGACTGCATACGGTGGGCAGGAGCTATGCCAGCTCGTGTACAGGAGTGTCTTGTTCCCTGCAAAGATGACTGCACCTTTACCCCCTGGTCTAAATTTACAGCATGCTCATCTGACTGTGAATCAACTAGAAGCAGGAGACGGTCACTCACAGGTAAAATATTTTATAAAATGTATCTGATAGCAATACTTGTGGATTATGCCTCTCAGATGTTGGGGTTTTGGGAGAATCCAGACAGAATAGTGATCATTTGTAAATTATTTTTGATCAGATACTGCTCATTGCCTGCTTTGTGTGCACATATTATGGTATGAGAACAGTGCAGAAAACCTTGGTGATGGAAAGACATTTTTAGACATAAAGCAAATAAAACAATAACTGTGGATTGTACAAGTTTATCTAACCTATTAATCTGGGAAGCATGCAGCAAATCTGTACACAAGACTAAAAATCAGTGTGATGTTCTCTTTAAAACTGTTGAAATCTGAATGAAGTTTAAAACTGGGAGTTTTGTGCTCAGCAGTATCCAGTAGTTCAACAGGGCAAATTAATACCATGTATAAAGAAAAAACGGTATCATTAAAGCAGTTTTGTTCGATCTTTTCTATGTATTCATTAAACACTCTCGTTCAAACCATTTCATGGAGCATTCCCCTGAGCTTGCTGTCATGGTTTATTATGTTATTTGAATGCTGACCAAACTGAAGAGCTTTAAAACTCTAACATTAATAGTTTGGAACTGTGTGTTTTATGAGGAGTTGTATTGCCCCCACATCCATAGCTAAATCAAATAAATGTGAATTACACTGTTGCCAGCAGAGTTACATGACATTCCTGTTATTGTTTTCCTGCACACACATATCTTTTCATATTTCTGTGCTGTGTTTGAGAACTAAGGTGGAGCTGGCTTGAGTTTGCTCCATTAATAGAGGTGAAACTTGAAAAACTTCTACTATGGAGTAAAATACTGACATTGCTGTAAAATATATAGTAATGCCTGGGAACTGAATGGCAGCAAAGTATGGTGGCTACCACTGCTCCTTGCTTCTACACTTCCTTGCACCTGGCTGTGTGGCTGTCTTGTTATTCAGTTCATTACTGCTGGAATGATGGAAGTTTTTACTAACAATTCCAGTACGCAGACTTGCAGTATAAAAGACTTCATTATGGCTTCAAACTGCCATTTGCTGATATGGCTTATTACAGGATAAAGATGTCTCTTTTATATAATAATTGCTACAATACAATGCCCTCTTGTTTCTTCCAAAGAGAGTGTTCTAAAATGTTCTCTGTTTTGATGGCTGTATGTTTATTGTAGAAGAAATCCTCTGTCCATATCAGAATTATAGATGCCTGATCTTACAGAAAATATATAAGAATGAAATGAAGAGTTCCTTCCAGGTAGTTTTAAATCTGATTTTTCTATGTGAGCGTCTGTGCAAGTTATCAAGCAGTATGGTCCTACCTGTCCCCTTTCTTATTCTGTTCTACATCAGACATAGATCCATTCAAGTAGACCACAAATGCTTTCTAGTATTCAGGTTTTGATGGCTTGTCTCCTCACCTGCCCTGAATTTGTGATCCAACACCACCAGTCTCTCCCATATGACCTTACTGGGTTCCCTTCCTCCCTCCAGGAAGGAGCTCCTGGTCTCAACCTACTCCCAGCAAAGCTGTCCTGGAAGCAATATCCCAGGTGGTGCTGGGCTGTTTGTATTTCACCTTTCTGTCAGCTACCTCCTCATTCATCACTCTGTGTGTCTAGGCCCCAGTGAATGCTTTGGCTTCATTATGAGAGTTCATCAATAGTGCCATTTATTGGAAATCTGTTAATTGTTTGGTGATCATTTGCTTGCCACCCACTCAGTTTTTAATACTCATTTCACTTTGGAAGTAATCATAGACTCTGTGTGTAAAATTAGTCATTACTTAAGAAGCAAAAGAATATATCAAAATTCAAAGTCATTACAATGAAAACACAGTTTTAAGGTAAGACTTCATTACTAAAGTCAGTTAATTCACTGTACTTTGGGTACAGTAGAATTTATGTGGAAAGGTACATTTTTAGTGTTTCATATAATTTCATATAGTGTATAGCATATACTAGCTGATAATATTTAATGTGTATAACATTTTTTTGTGTTCAGAAATATATTTCAAAAAGAAAATACTATTTATCTGAAGGATTTGTGTCCTTGAAAAGTTTTGCAGTGGTGTTTTTAATAGTAATTTCTGAAATCTATGAAGATGATAGAAGTAGCCCCATCACCAATTCTTAAACTTCTCCTTTGTGAAGAGTGTGGGATAAGTGTAATTTTTTTGCTCTCAAAATAGGGCTTTCATAGCAGCTTCATTAGAGGGAAGATTCCTGCAAAACAGATGGCAGGGCAAGGGGGGGGGAAAGTGTTGTGGAAGTGTGAGATTATTAGCATCCTTACCTGTGTCTGGTGGGCTGCATGTAATAATGGCAAAACATGGGCAAGTCCCAAATTCCCATGTTTACTTACAGAATGCAGAGCACACAGCTCTACATATACGCTGAGTGTGTGGCTTCTGTCAGCTCGTCAAACATAAAGTGCTGGAAATGCCACTAGAGAGCTCCTGATCTATTTAAAGCCTTTTAAAAGACTTTCCTTGAATTACGTGGAGTTGTACCTCTTTTACCTTACCTAAATTTGCTCATAAATATATTGATGTATTTTTATAGACAGAGGAAAAAATAAAGATGCCAGCACTATTTGATTTCTTTGTTTTTATTGTCCCTTTGTGCCAGCAAACTTTACATTCCCCAGAACAATACAAGAAATGCAATTTTGAAAGGGCTAAGGCTTGAAGGACAGTGATATTAAGGGTCTGCAATCAGTGCCCTTTTCTTTTTAGGTACATATTTGTATGCAGACAGGTATGGATGACAGCCAGCTTCTGCTTCGGCTTATGTGTGGTGAAATGACTCTTTGTTCCAGGCTGGAAACAGGGTTGTTGAGTTGTAGAACTGGTGTTTTGGTTTTGTATCTTATTTGTGTGCAATATCAAAGAGAAAACATTTCCTCTGGGATCAAAGCTTTAAAAACTTTCTGCAGAAGTCTTTTTAGCACATCCTATATCCCCAAGGAACCTTTTGAGGGTGGGATACAGATGTGGTTTCTTAGTGAAGATGAATTCTCCCTTCCAGTGCAGATGCTAAATGCAAAGACATTCCTGAGCCAGCCTGAAGACAACTGCGTCATGTTGGGTAACCCATGCCAAGACAAGCATTGATTTTATCTTTAGGGGCTGTATTAAATCTGTGTTCTCTGGAGCAGTTGGAGAGATGCAGGGAACATGAATCCTCATCTTTATCTCCTCTTGTACTGATGTCCTCATGCCTAGAAGTCCTCCAGGAGCAGGACAGGGGTGTAGAAGTTAGCCTTCTTTTAAAACCTGTTGAAAGAACAGAGCGAAAGAAAACATTGAACCAAATATAACCATAGAAATACTTTCCAGTCCTAATAATTTACTGAGGATTATCTTTTCTGTTTTCCTTCAAAATACAGTTTGTGTGCCCTTGCATCTTCAACTAATTCATAAGGTAGCCTCAAAGATGTTGTGGCTAATGTAGAGTCTTCTGGAAGTTGTCCTGGCAACCAATAATTTTGAGCAAATAGAGACAAAACAATTCATTTATTTTCATCAGATAATTAGAGATAAATGATACTATATAAAATTACAGAGCATTTTCTGGGCAGACCACTACTAGAGTAAGAACTTTGCATTTTGCTCTTTGCCCTACCCATCAAAACAGTATTTCCAAGTTCTCTGGTTGCCCCTGGAGATAAATACACTGTCCTTGCACTCCAGATCACTGGCAACAGCTAATAGATGCTTCGGAAACATTCCTGGGTATTAACATTCAGATTGTCTTGGTTCTAATGTGTTGAATTCATGCAAGTATAAATAATATGACGTGTTGTTATCAAAAGTAGCAGATGTTAAACTAACAAACAGATTTCTGTGGTTGGAACAGGGCGAAGCAGAAAGCGAGACAAATGCCAGAATACTGAAGTCTATCCTCAAGTTGAAACAGAGCAGTGTCCCTGCGAGGAGTTTACCTCCCAGCCCCACGGAAATTGGTCTGACTGCATTCTTGGCAGAGGAACATCGGAGCAGCAGCTGGGAATGCCATCCCATGGAGGTGCCAAGGAGTGCGGCGAGGGCGTGCGCCTGAGAGCCATTGCCTGCTATGATAAGAGTGGCAGACTGGTGGAACCATCTCACTGCAGCAGCTCGGGTAAGGAGATTTAAAAAGCACATGAGAAGTGTAAAGAGCCCTGGTGCTGAGCTGAGTTACCTGCTCAATGGTTCTTTTTGGAGCCTGTCATAGGTGCGTACATGTTCACCTGCTGGAACAGTTTTCACAGAGTTGCTGTGACTGTTGGACAGCCTTCTAATGTCTTCTTATCACTCTTAATACTAAGGTTTTCCTCAATGTAAGGGTCTGGTGGCATTTCTACAATCAAAATGAATTAGAAGAGGGCTAAAGTTGGCTCTGCTGTCAGATGTAGACGTGACGCTTCAGGGCATGGTGGTCAAATTTTTTTCTGGGTTAATGGTTGGACACGGTGATCTTAGAGGTCTTGTTCTGTGAAATACCAGAGGCATTTCTTTTGTGCATCTTAAAATCCTGTAAAAGCATGAGCAAAGGAGAAGTTACATTTCAAGTAGTGTTTTGTTTGAAGATGTTGCCTTCTTCAGCTTTTACTTGCTCATAGATTTTTATTCCTTTCTACTAAGTTTAGAGGTGTTTGTATGTTTGTTTTTTGTGAAGCATCAGAAATTTTCTTGAGACAATCACATTAAATCACAAAACCCTTGTGATGTCACCTGCTGTCTCTAGTGCCAAGTTCACATGACTTCAGCAGCTGGTGATCTCATCCTGGCAGTTTTGTGCCAGGCTTAAGCTCAGATGGATACACAGCAAATATGCCAGTGTCACTGCTTGCTGGGGCTCTGGGCTGTTATTCTCTCTACCTAACACTTCATATATAATCAAGTAGCCAATATCAAACAGAAACAGGGCAGAACCAGAAGCAGAGCAAGCAGGAAATGTTGATCTATCTGGGTATTTTCTTCCAGTTTCCATGATTTGCAGTTATTAAATGCTAAATCAATTTACAGACAAAAGCCCTTATGTTGAGGGCAAATGCTGCACCTCTGCTGCTCCCAAACCACTGATGCTCTCTGATTTACAGTCACAAAGCTTTGGGCACCACCTAGGGTGATGTAGTAGGTTGCAAGAGTGCTGGTGAGGTATGTGATGGGAGAGGAAGAAGTGATGTGTCAGGAGGAGATTAAGTAATGCAACAGGAACCATTAATGTTCCTGAGTAAATAAGGGAGCAGAGAAAGAAGTGCGGCTGGTCTGTGGAGGGTCTTCAGGATGAGGATTAGCAGCCTGAGCTGCATGTAATAAAAGGGAGGAAAACATACCCTGATGAAGTGATTCAGTCCTGGAGTGAATTCCTCTCACAGCTGTTGATGGCTGTTCCAGCTGGCTGCACAGATTCATAAAGCAGCTTTCCATGGGTTGTGTTTCAACAATGTGCTGTTGTACGAATTGATCATACCTCTGTGGACCATGAGGGAGGAATGCTATACCTTTCCTCCACAACATTACCTTTTCTTCTGCAAAAAGGGAACTGTTGGATTTTGAAAGGTGGTTTTGCCTGTGTCGTGACTTGCTCTTTTGAAAAACTCAGGGGTTTTATCACTATTTTTAAAAAGACAAGGTTGTCTATGTGTGGGGTTTTTCTGAATAACCTTGGAGCCTGTTTTCTGTCTGTGATATTTATGTGGCATTTTTAATGGTCTGGGCAAGGGCATTATTGTTGCCTTTCTCGTCTTTGGCTTTTTATCTGAGCAGAAATTATTGCAGCATGTCTGTGTCAGAGGGCAGAGGGGTAGTTGGTCCTGTACAGCCCTGTAGAGCCCTGTCTTATGCCCTTCCTCCTACACTCTATTTACAGAGACCTTTAGGTTTGGAAGTGGGATGTAAAGGGGGGTGAGACGTTTCCACCTTCTGGATCTCCCATAACAGTTCCCCTAAGGGTGAGCTCCAGCCCTGTTTAGTACCCAGGATGTATAAGCTCCTGTTTGCTACCAAGTCTTGAACGCCTGTTTCCTGCAAGGCGAGTGGGAAAACAACATTGCCTTGGTCTCCAGAGGATATGGATATTGAAGTGACTCTGGGTATAGACTGCCAAAAAGTGGCAGAAAGCTCCACAGGCTCCATCGCTTGGGACCTGCCTTCCAACCACAGCAGTTAAGTGAAGTTAAGCCCGATACTTATGGTCTTTAGAGCTGGGAGCTTTCAGAATACACTCCTGAACACATTATTGAATTAGTGATAGAAACAAATCATTATCCAATTAATAATTAGCAGTGCTACTCAACCGTAATAGAGAAGAGCCAATTAGAGAAGCGTGCCCATTTACTAAGCCCTGAGAAGTTATTCCTGACAGGTTGGGTTTTTTTACAGCATCTGAGTTTGTCTAGTTCAAAGTATCAGGTGACCTTTTAACACTAGCTGGCTGACCACATTAATGGCTAATTAAGCCTTTGCCTTATATATTGAATGCTAATCACTGATATCTAGGTATTGTTCTTGCTTTATGAGATGTGGGGGTAAGCGTGTTCCTCTTTTATTTCTTTCAGGTCTTCTGACTTCTTTTTGTTTCCTGCTCTTTTCCTTTAGCAGGACAGTACTTTTTATTCCTTTGCCTTGAACCAGGACAGAAGTGAGAAGTTGTGAGACACAGACCTCAGTTCTTTGCGGAGTTCTTTTGAAGAACTTTTTACAAAATGTAGGAAGATAGATGTTAGGATGCAAACTTTGCCGTAGAAGTAGTCTGAAGTTTTTTCCAGACTTGATAATGCCATGAGTACAAGGTATAGGACAATGAAAATGCTATAGAAGAGAATTAGAGAGCAAACTCTGGACTCTTGCCTTCTCACAGGAAGCATTTTCACTTTCCCTGACAAACCTGGCTGGTGAACTTCAGCAGGGTTTAGTGAGTTTGAGACTAATGTAGAAATTAGTCAGTGCTCAGGGTCCTGCTCTACACTGCATTTTGTGAGCAATTCTGCATTTGCAACTTTGAGGAAAAAAAACCAAACTAAAAAACCCAGTGAAGTCTGGTTGTCTGTGTTAGTCAGCAGTCCAGACTCCAACTCTCCTAAGTCTATTATATGCAAATGCATTAACTGTTCAAGCAAACCTTCTCCAGAGGAGATGAATTTTCTGCCCAGTGGTGTAGTTACCACATACAGAGTATCCCAAGATCCAAAAGCAGTGAAGATGGAAGCATTCCAGCTATGCCTTAATGGAAATGCACCACTAGCTTGTGTGGTGTCTGCAGTTCCTTCTGTTAGGACCTATGTCCTGACCCAGCACAGCTGAGCACAGCTTGTGTGAACAGTTTGGGTCAACTCTAGTGGCTACAGAGGTTACACTTTGACTAATTTACCAGCCCTCACTGCCACTTAATCTTGATTTAGCTCATGATCATTAAATGGAACAAGCTTAAAAATAAAAATCCCAGGCTTAAAAATGCAAGCTTAAAAAAATAATATCCTAGCTTAAAAATACAAACCCCAGACTACTCTGAATTGTATTCCTTTCTGTGCCAAACATTTCCTCTCATGTCCAGAAGAAGCACACTGGGGCTTTTTTTTCCATGACTGACCTTTGTGATTAACCTCCTGGTTTATTTTAGTGGTGTCATCGTTTTTCTTGATCACGCGTTCACTAAGCTCTGTAAGTGAATAACCTATATTTTTTTTCCTGGAATTGGTTCACTCTTCTTTTCCTTTCTTTAATTTGGAAGTGCAATTATGAAATTGTGGATAGAGGTGACTAATTGTATTGCAAAAAACGTAATTGATAATTTGCTTCAATTTGTCTTCCTGTCAGAAGACTGGCTCATCTTGTGTTCAGCTCACCATTAGTCCAGAGGGTCTTCATTCCCTGGCTGATGTCTATTGCATCCTCTTTGGACATGAAATTGTCCTCTTAGCTGCAGTTCATCTGCTCCTCAATCTGTCTTTCAAGTTCTTCGTACTGTTTTTGTATTTCCGCCTCCTTTGTTTTGAATGATTTCATGTAGTTCCTTTCCCTCTTTTGTGTGTGTGTGTGCTGTGCCAACAGGGCTTTTTTTTAATCTTCGAGGAACATAGGGTGCCTCATCTGTTCCAAATCAAAGGCTGGAGATTTCTGTGCTCTTGCAAGAGGTTCAGCTTTTGATCCAACAGGCAATTTCTGGAAAGCAGGAATTTATGAAAGGTGCTTTTACTATTCAAATTCAGTGGTGCTTGCAACAACAGGAACCTGGGAGAAAGACACAGATAAACAGATCCTGGCTTTAAATCACAGAGCAGTTAGCTTCGACCTACACACACCTTAAAAAGCTGTAATTATTTTCCAAATTTATGAAGGGCACGGCAGGGGTGCTCATACACCTCCTTGTTGTCATCTGCACAGTGTTTTGTACGTGGTTTAGTTGCAGATGGACAAATCAATGAGGACTGGGGTTGCTCAGAGGGTTCCCCTGCACCCACTGCTGCAGGGGTGGGTGTCACTTGGTTCCTCCCTGTCAGGTTGGCCTAACACTGCTACTGGGAATGCTGCTGGTAAGGTCACTCCTTGAAAACATCAACTTTAGTCCTGAATGGGTGGTGTTAGCCAGCAGATGCCCCAGCAGGAGTTAAAAATTCTGGTGAGGTGAAAACTCACAGGTTTTTATGGTGGCTGGTGGAATGTTCCCTGCTCTGAGGCACATCAGGGCAGCATGTGCCAGCAGTGACTGCTTCTGACCTGACCAGCAATGTTCCCAGTGGCGAGAGATTTAGGACAGTATGCAGAGGTCATGAGATCAGGAGTTTTAACTCGTACTGCTGAAAACCAGGTAGTGTCAAGTCTCATGAAGTTTGATTTGCTGAAAGGTCAGCTCAGAGTATTTCTACTAGGGGGGTTCTTCTGGGTTTTATGCTCCCTTACATGACAATCTTGGCCACCAACTTGATGGACATTGCATGACCTACCTGCAAGTCGACATAAGGATCTACTCTGAAACCCTGTGGAGCCAAACTTCTGGACTGTTGTTTTCAGAGAAAATTAGTTATTTTCACATAGCTTTTAATCACTAGATTTGAATAGTCATTCTGACAAAAAGACGCTTGTGTAGCTCAAAAAACTATAAGCAGAGCTGAATACCTTAAAGAAATCTGGACTAAT